TGTTCAGTGTCCTCTATTTTTTATCTGCTAACTTTCCGTAGCAGATCATTTTTTTCGATCGGTGTTTTTTTTTATAAAATCACCAGAACTATCATTAAAAACTATCAGGAACTATAGAACTCGACTGCATGCGACAAGAACTCTCTTTTATTTTTGATCTGCTAGAAAATGATCTGCTACGGGAAGTTAGCAGATCATTTTTTGGATTGGTGTTTTTTTAGGATAAAATCACCAGAACTATTACTAAAAACTATAAGGAACTATAGAACTCGACTGCATGCGACAAGAACTCTCTTTTATTTTTGATCTGCTGGAAAATGATATGCTAGGTTCACGAACATCAATTTTTAAGACAATAAATGTGTTAAAAACTCTAATAGGTGACTATGAATATTGAAAATTGCAAGTCTTTTACTGAATATTTCAAAGTTTCTTTGTGCGTTATATTACAAAATATTTTGTGTGCAACATTTTGCATATATCAGATTATAAATAAATGATTATTTATTCTAAAGTTGCTCCGCTGGCACTTGTAATGCTTTTCCCGAGCATTCTTCTTTTTTTACAATTAGTTCTTGCAGTCTTTTAAGACATTCACACATGTTTGCGATGCGAATACGAAAATCGGGTTTTAAACGGCACTCCCAATGCGTGTTTTGTCACATTAGGACAAAAGTAGCACGGAATATCATCACATTGATTATACGTACGACTCTGCCGCGACCGTAAAAAGTAGCTACGGAAAAGGGTGAGATCGAAAATTATGGGAAATAATAAGGGTAGTATTATTGGAGAGGATAACGCGAAGATACGGGATTTGCTGCAGTCGAGGTGGCGCCGTGCGAATAAGGGTATAATAAACATATTAAGAACAAAGTCGCATTGATTCCGATTTGGAAGAATGCGAGGAGCAAGATATAACAATGTGTATTCCGATATATAGCGTAAGAGAGAAAGGGGGGGAAGGGGGAGGGGATATAGATCACGCAACTCTAAGGACGATGAAAACAACCTCACCAAAGCCGTGAGTCTGTCTCGAAACTCTTAACATTAGGGTGTTTATTGAATATTTGTCGTAATTAATTTTAAATTCAATTTCAACTTGATTTTAATAAGTGTTCGATAAATATCCTAATGTTAAGAGTTTTGAGGCAGACTCGCGGCGTGTAGGGTAGGGTAGGGTTTGTTTACATCGTCGCGCTTAGCCTGCGCGCTCCATACCCCTTCTCTCTTTTTCTTTCTCTCTCACGCGTGCTATGTATCGGCACGTACAATGTTATTTTCTATTCGTCGCATTCCTAAGTTGGATTCGGCGCGACTGTGTCCTTGATGTGTATTTATGATCGTGTATTTTACTTTACTCTTGTTATTCGCACGGCGGCACTTGTACGGAGCAGATTAGTGCGTTATCCTCTCCAATGATACTACTCTTACTACTTCTCATTTTCGATTTCATTCTTTTCCGTTGTTATCCGTTGTGAAAAGTGTCGAACGTGTATTCCGTGCGATGATATTCGAGTTACATTTTTGTCCTAAAATTACAAAGTACGCGTCGGGAGTGCCGTTTGAAACATCGGGCGATTTTTGTATTCGCGTTGCGCGTGTGAGTGTATTGAAGAACTGCGAGGACTGAGAGGAGGAGGAGGCTCAGGAGGAGTATCGGGCGCTGGCGGAGCAACTTTAGTGTAATTATTTATTTGTAACCTGTTAATTGTAATAAAATGTTGCACGTAAAATATTGTGTAATGTAATGCACGTATAAAAATTTTGAAATTTTGAAATATAAGTAAAAGACTTGCAGTTTTTAATATTTATGGTTACTAGTTATTAGTAACTGGTTATTAGATTTTTTAACATATTTATTATTAGTTAAAAATTTTAATATTTTTCGACAATTATATAATTTTTTATTAGACATTTGTATAAAAAATGAGTAAAAAGTTTAATGTACGCAATAATTATTTCTTAATTATTTTAAACGCGCTGTTATAATTTATAATACTTTGTACGTTACAGGTCAACTTATGGAGTCCGCTACTGCGTATTATGCCGGTAAGTCAGTTGAATTTTTATTTTAATATCATTAAAAGAATAGACAAAAATAATGTAAAATATGATCTGAGACATTCAGCATAACTTAAATTATGCGAGGCTATAATAATGGACAAGTGATATTTTTTCTTATTTATATTTAAAATACGAATAGTTTAATCTGTTTACAGTTAAAGAATATGCAAATATTGAGATAGACTGCGTAATATTTTTATTGATATAATTACAAATGACAACTTCATTGCCGTTTTCTTTGATTTTATTTAAGTGTGAGAAATGCATATCTTGAATACATTATTAATGAATATACTATGTCACTTGTTATGAACATGCATGAGAATTTATCAATGTACTTTACATTCGGTATTTTACCGGAAACTGTAGTTTGTTGAACCGTGGAGGCGGTCCCTTTTGCAAATAATCGATCAGTGAGAAAATCTAGGTGGGTGGTTTTTTTATGGCTCCCCAAGGAGCTCACGGAGTGGATGGGCCGTCAGTTTGCACTACCCTTCCTATATCTTTGCGGGCCACCCTTATAGATCCATTCTTCGTTGGCATTACCGCAAACGCATAACATCCGCCAACTGAATCCGCGCATTTTGTCCAATGTCCCGAACTAATAGAACTAATGCCCGGGAGTAATAGAATTGGTCAGTTTCACTCGTAGGAAAGTATATGTTCGTGAACCTAGCATATCATTTTCCAGCAGATCAAAAATAAAAGAGAGTTCTTGTCGCATGCAGTCGAGTTCTATAGTTCCTTATAGTTTTTAGTAATAGTTCTGGTGATTTTATCCAAAAAAACACCAATCGAAAAAATAGATCTGCTAACTTCCCGTAGCAGATCAATTTTCTAGCAGATACAAAATAAAAGAGAGTTACTTGTCGCATGCAGTCGAGTTCTATAGTTCCTGATAGTTTTTAATGATAGTTCTGGTGATTTTAATAAAAATAAAACACCGATACGAAAAAAATGATCTGCTACGGAATGTTAGCAGATAAAAAATAGAGGACACTGAACATATATGTGATATGCTGGCCGTATATTGATAGTTCTGTTGATAATTAAAGAGTTTTCGTGTAGTTCTGAGCCAGTACATTGCTTTTCCAAAGAGTTCTGACGACTAAAATAATTAGAAAATTTTTAACAATTATTTTACCCGAAAACACGCATTTTTGTACATATATGTGATATGCTGGCCGCATATTGATAGTTCTGCTAAAAATTAGACAGTTCTCTTCTAGTTCTGGGCGAGTACATTGCTTTTCCAAAAAGTTCTGACGACTAAAATAATTAGAAAATTTTTTAAACAATTATTTTACCCGAAAAACACGCATTTTTTAGTATATGTGTGATATGCTGGCCGCATATTGATAGTTCTGCTAAAAATTAGACAGTTCTCTTCTAGTTCTGGGCGAGTACATTGCTTTTCCAAAGAGTTCTGACGACTAAACTAATTAGAAAATTTTTTAAACAATTAATTTACCCGAAAACACGCGCACTTTTTGACGCATATGTGTGATATGCTGGCCGCATATTGATAGTTCTGCTAAAAATTAGACAGTTCTCTTCTAGTTCTGAGCGAGTACATTGCTTTTCCAAAGAGTTCTGACGACTAAAATAATTAGAAAATTTTTTAACAATTATTTTACCCGAAAAACACGCATTTTTGTACATATATGTGATATGCTGGCCGTATATTAATAGTTCTGTTAATAATTAAAGAGTTTTCGTGTAGTTCTAAGAACTAGAAGAGAACTGTCTAATTTTTAGCAGAACTATCAATAT